CCTAAAGTACCCGTAAACTGTTGTAATTCTTTCCTAGATTGGGGCATCTGTGACTGTTCTATTTTATTTAGGGTGTCTGGTGGGATTGTCACATTAACTGCAACCCACCAAGTACCCAAAAACTTGACCTCTCTGCTTTGTTTCTGACACTTCTCAGGTGGGATTGCAACTTCTGCTTTATGTAGCGCTTGTCATACTGCTGCTGCTGCTGCTTCCCCTACCTCCTCAGGGGAATGTCCTCCCATTAGAATATCATCTATATATCGGTATAGTTTCACGTTCTGAGGAAGTGTGACTGTTTGCAACAGTTCAGCAAGCGCAGCATGAACAAGTGTAGGTGAGTGTTTGTATCCCTGTGGGAGTCTGTTAAAGGTATATTGTGTAGCTTCCCAGGTAAAAGCAAATCTGTCTTTCTCCTCCTCCTGCAAGGGGCCCATAAAGAACATATCTTTCACATGTAGCGCTGCCATCCATGGGTGTGCAGCTGCTCGTAGTGTGGCTGTTAAGGTTGCAATATTGGGGACTGCAGCCGTTAGTGGAGCTGTGTTGGCATTTAGATGCCTGTAATCAATTGTCAGACGACATCTCCCATCCAGCTTTCAGACTGGCCAGACTGGTGAATTGTGTGGGGAGTGGGTTCTGGAGATAATTTGTTGTTTTCCTAAATCACCTGTGACTTTAGAAATTCCATTTCATGCTGCAGCAGAAATTGGGTATTGTGGTACGTTAGTAACTTCTGAATTAGGGAGTGCAGGGGCTGCACAGAGTAAACGCACTGTAGCCTCCTGATGTTTATCAGGGTTAGGATTAATATTTGAACCAAAGCACCACATCCCACCGTCTGGGAGATGCCAGGTTTGGCCATTCAAAACACCAAAGCCCAAAATACTTCCATTATGATTTTTCACTGCAAAATGGGTAGACAGCATGTGTTTTTCTCCCAGGAGCCATAAATTAACCTTTGCAGTTTAACAAACAGCACTTGCTCCATTCACGCCAGTAATTTTAACTCTTTGCTGTCCAGGTCATATACTCAGCTTCTCAGCATCTTGTTGTGTCAATATTGAAATTTGTGCACCGGTGCCTATTAGGAATTTGATTAACTGTTTTTGAGGACCAACTGGGATTAAAATATATAGGCCATTATTATCTATCCATTGATAGGAGTCCACTTGGATAGGAGACCATGACCTCTCCTACCCAAGTGGGTATGCTGCTGCTAGAAACCAGACCAAACTGGCTGAAAGCAGCAAAGTTGCAACAAAATCGAGTAAACTCAGCTAAGAAATATGCATTAAGCGCCCTTGCACAGAGGGTTCACGTGTACAAATACTCAAAAGTGAATGGTAACAGACAATATCATGGCCAAAGCCAATAGGTTATGTAAATTGTAAAAATGAGTATATGAATAGTCTTAAGATTTCACATAAGGAATCAAGAAATGTAACACGGTGACCTCCTCATGCTCCCAGCTGAGAGCACCTTTACTGCTAACAATAGAAAGGGGTTTTAGCTAGCGCATGCTTCTGCTGCCTTTTTTCCCAGTGCCTGTGCATGAACTAGAAGAAAAGAAATAGGCAAGCAAATGCCTGTTGGTAACAAGAGCGGCAGATGTGGGACCTGTGGCTGAGCTGGGGAAGAGGGAGCACCCCTGGAGCAGCCTTGGGGCTTGCTGCCAAGCTGGGAGAGGTGCCTTCAAATCAGCTTTCCCATCAGGAGGTTGCCCAGGAGTTACTTTGAGTTTTACTCTTGTCCTTCAGGAACGCTGTTCCACACCAAGCACACCCAGAGCTGAGCCTGTTCAAGGAGAAGCCTTCTCCACGAGAAGCACAGCTGGGGCTGATGGTGACAGTTCCCAGCAGCTGTCCAGGTCAGAGAGATGCAGGTAAGATGCCCTGGAGGAGACAGCGACCGCTTGGCAGTTCTCTTGCAGGAACAGGGTTGAAGAGCAGGAGGGAGCCAGGGCAAAAGGGCCTCTGAGGTCAAAAAGTGCATCAAACAGCCAGAGCGCAAAGCAGAGGGAGAAGAGAAATAGGTGCAGGG